CCAACTCATAACCACTACGCTACCAGAGATCCTTGGAGGTAGTAACTCTAAATACCAACAGAGAGGGAAGGAGTCTTCACATCAAGTATCAATACTATTAGACCAGCTTGGAGTGGCTAGAAGAACAGAAGATATTTCTTGAAAATAGACCATCAGGAAAAGTCCAAAACAATAATGGCAGTCTGATTGACTACAACAAGAACAAGCAAGCCATAAAGGCAAGTGGTCAGGTCCCCTCAGGGCAAACCCTCTTCCAAGACTAAGACTCAAGGGGAATACACGAGCAGGCATTTGGTCTTGCTGCTGACTATGGTGGTCACCAATAAAGGGAAGTGGGGGAAAAACAGTAATGAAGTTGTGAGCTAAGTCCAACCACGTTCAATAGACTCCTGTCAACCTGGGTTGAGACCTGGTTGGCCAGCAGTATGGCAAGACCCGGGAACTGCTGGGCTCAGAGACAGGGATATGGCCACAGAGGAGTACAGCAGACAGTGAAGTATCCAGCTGATAATGAGGTGAGGGGAGATGCACAAGAACACCCATGTTTGTAGATAGTACCCATTTGACCTGGCTTCAATGGCTGGATGACCAAATCTTGACTAGAGGAAGAAAGAAGAGGAAAAGAGAGTAATCCCCTAAAATTTCATGAACCTGACCTTTGCTTGTGAATGTAGTAGCTCAAAGGAGGGAAAGTATCTTTAAAGCAAGGATCATTCCCACCCCCTCAGTACACAGGGTCCACAAGGATGGGCAACTTTGACATTGTTTACCCAAAATGGGGGTTCTACAAAGGCAAAAAGTGCTGGTTTATGAAGCTTTCAAGAGGGAACTTAGTTCAGGAGGGTGCACTGAGTGGTTTCCAACCTGTCTGGACAGGGCTGGAGAAAGGAGATGGGGATAAGACTCTTGTGGTTCAATAGTGAATAATTGTTATCAGGACTGAATGTGAGAGTTGCACCTATAAAGGTAGACATTTTGTAACAAAAGGAGGGTAGTGGTTGACTTTGCAGTCCAGGAGCTGAGGACACTTGGACCATCAAGGGAGAAGGGCAGAGTACGGGACCCTCTCCAGAGAAAAGCAGCAATGCCAGAGATAGAGTGACTGGGGAATCTGGGAGGGAAAGGTTCTGTGTGTTGATGGCCAGGGGCAGGCTTGTGGGATATACCCTTTGGTTGTTTGATGATGCATGGAGAGGATTGTAATCATTGCAATGAAATGAAATACGATAGGATGAATGTAAAGCTAATGTTCTCCCACGTGAACTATCACATAATTCACAATAAAAACTTAAAAAAAAAAAAAAAAACTTTGTTAGAGACAGCCTCATTCAGCAGTAGTTATGTTGACTTATGCCTCAGCTCTCCCCAGGTTCCCACCCCCCCAAAAAAACATTTAGTTAACAAGGCTGTTTCAGGAAGTTCTAAGTCTTATGTCTCAGACAAACATGTC